AGCGAGCTTGATCGTAGCATCGCCACACATTTTGTAGATTTCGATTGCAATATTGCATTTAAATTAAATACTGCATTTCCAGACATCAATTTCAATATAAAAGTTATAAATGCAAGCATCGTAATCATTCTGTACTGGTAATCATACTTCAAAATTTGTTGCTATTTGTAATGGAAAACTCAATAAAACGGGATGAATTCTCAAATAACTGGAAAATTTGAACTGTTTGGCTGGATTCTAATCTTATCTAATCTAATGTAACACCAGCACAGCCAGTTCTTGAAAGCATCCTGGAAAATGATAGATATACCTCCATCATTTTTCTTGTCAATTTGATATATGTGAAGAAGATGCGTCACACATATCAAAACGGCCAGGCCTACTGTGCAGCATTTAAGGGGCAAGATGATTCAGAAAACATCGGGCCTGTTTAAATCGAAGATTTAAACACGATGCTTTAGAATCCAATAAATGGAATGGAAAGCTAGAAAGGTTATGTTATGCTCCATTTTCTTCTGACGGTTGGGACATGAGCACTAACTCTTGTCCTAGCCTTTTAAGGCTTATGGCTATAGCGCCATTACTCGCTTTCTGAAAAGAGAAGAGGGAAAGGAAAAGGAAAGGGACAAAGGGAAAAGGAATATTTTTAAATTGAAATATACAATATAGAAATGCATAACGGCGGTGGTCACTACCCGAGTCTTGTCATTATTATCAAGTCATAAAAAGTAACAAGAACTAAAATGTGATCCTTTGATTACTGGAAAATCCTGATTACCCAGATTAAAGTTGTCACGATTAGGGTTCGGTGGTAGATCTTATACCAGCAACGCACCACAAAAAGGTGATCTCCCAACGTAACTGGTATGAAAAGATAAAAATTTACAAAATGGAACGAACTCACCAAGTTTAGCCAATTGAATCTAAAGGCAGCTTGACATGTGTTGATGTAGATGTCCAAATTGTAGACGAAACTTGACGAACATCAACATGAACTAGTCCGGTTTATGGTAGTTGAGCGGAATGTCTTCCCTCGATTTGAGACAAAAAAAATGATCGGATGTATGTTGTCGATTTTTGATACACACTTAGATATAACTAATTTTACACATGACGGAATCATTCTTTGACGTAAAATATGATATTTCGCGTCTGTTATGACTCAAATTTATGTCAAAATTGACGCTCGTATATGTCGCTCTTAGAGCACCTAAATTTACATTAATTTTCTAAGCGTATGTGCATTGACAAGCCTTTTCGTGGCCAATTGTCAGGTTCAGCGCTGCGACTCCACGCTGAGACGAATGGTGGAACTAATGATGGGACGAATGATGGGACGCCTCATGGAGGTTCTACTTGTCTTGGGAACAGCTTAACATACAGTCTACTTTTTCTCAAACCATGGGCACATGATAAACCTCAAAGATGGATTCACGGAAACAAAGTACAAACTGACAAAAAACGATAAAAAAATTAACGATCTCATCAAGTCTGCAACAAGATGCTACGCCACTTTTCAGGGCAATCCCAATTGTAGATGATCCACTTCTTGGCAGGAACCATTCCGGTTCATCTGTTTGAAATTCCCCGAGTAATGTTCTCCTTTGATATGTTCAGCGATCCGCCACACCTCCATCATATTATCGGGAAGTCACGACTTCGTTTGAGGCTCCACATTGGTTTCAAAGCCACTTGTAAAAATACACGCTGCCCGAGGCTCAGAAGCAGCCATTGCAGTACAGCCCTTATGAAGACGAACCACATATGTGGAATGTGGAATGTGGAACCAGCCTAGACAAAAATCACAGCAGATCCATCCAATTTGAGTATCACTGCTCAGACTTCATGGTTCAGATTCACGCTTCACAAACTTCAGGTCTCTATTTATCTTGACTTCTAGTTGATATCCTAAAAAAAATCACTTTAGCAGCACCCAACTAGAGATAAAAAATTAGAACAGCAAAACTAAACGTCCTATAACTGCTTGGCTGGATTCGTTCACAAATACTGAAAGAATTCAATTTACCTAGAATGTTGGCATCACTGTTCTGTGCATCATAATACACGATAACAATAAAATCGTGTAGGGGAAATGGATGTAATGTCGGCCTAAATGCCCCTTATTTGGGCCCATAAATAAATTCAGCAATCGACTAAATTTTCAATAGCGACCAAATATATCCATTAGTACCGTTCCAACGACACGTTCATCTAGATAAAATTTATAAATAGCAGATTTTTAACGATGGGCAATAAATACCATAAACAATTCGCACCATTAAAATAAATTCCGCAATTTTTGCGACATCATTTAATGTTCCGTTATTTTCACGATTGAAAGTTCAAACCCGCGACGAATACGCAAAAATACCTGGACTGGATGCGTTAAAAAAAAACTGGAAGAATCCAGTTTAAACTGGAATGTTGGCATCACCTTGGGCATCGCTGCTTTGTGCATCATAATAAACGATAAATAGAAAATCGGTTCGCTCCATAACAATGAAATCTGCAATTTGTGATACACAGTTCGAAAAAGTAGTGTAAATTTCTGTTCAGTAAGATGCACATAAATGGAGCATCACATATCATATAAGTTTACATTATATATCATGAAAAGTTCTGAGACATTTCATGCAATGTAGCAAATATTGTATACAAAAGCCCATTGTTGTGAACAACATTGTTTACAAGTTGCTCGGTTGCGTGAAATATAATACAAGTTTACGTGAAGGAATGTTTACATCACTATTAAAATTCAGAATTTTTATCTGTGTAGCACATAAGGCCCATCGCGATTTTCACGACTGAAAGCTACACATCCGCTACAAATTCACGAAAATCGCAAAATCCGCCCTTGTTGTAACAGCCCTGAATACAGGAATAATATGAAAAATCACCGAAAAATAATCAAAGTGTTTGTACAGAATGTTTATTGGTTTAAATTTACGCTGACAACATTGACTTCAACCACCGATTTCTCGTAAATAAAAGGTCACTCCTGCATATTCACATTGCCAGCTGCTAGAGGCAATATTCCCATACCTGAGGGTGTCATTAATTTGCAGGTGTAAGCTTTTATTCGCAAGAAATCGACGGCTTATATATTTTTTTTATGAGCAACCATTCGGATTTTCGTTAGACTAAAAGCCGACATTCATAGTAAATTAAATCTTAAAGCCGAAAACTTCATCGCAGTACGTACAATAGGTAAATAATCCAAGTAAAAATGTTGGGTTTAAAAGGGTGCTGCAGACCATGATATACACAGTTAGAAAAAATCATGTAAATTTAGGTGCTCTGAGAGTGACATATACGAGCGTCAATTTTGACATAAATTTGAGTCATAACAGACGCGAAATATAGCTCAATCAAACGTACTTTTCGTCGAACAACGAACTTTTCAGTCTCGGAGCACTTAATATTACATGACATGTTTGTTAACGTCTCATCTTTTATGTCAAAGATCGATTCCGTCACGTGTAAAATTAGTAATTTCTAAGTGTGTATGCTTGAAGAATGCTTTAAAACTTCGATAAAACCTGCCATGTTCCTTGGGAAGTGAGTGAAGTGAGTTTACAGAATATTTCAGTATGTTTACATTGGCTCGAATTGGCTCAAACCATACAGTACATACAATTTATTCCAGTGAACCATTTTGATATAACATTCTGAATCGGTACAACCTAATTACGACGAGCGTGTAGCTTAAGGCTACGCTTGACCTGATTGTCATCCCGGAGTCCAGCATGAGGAGGCAGGTAGTCTACGTCAACAGTCGGGCTACCACTTTTGACATCCACAAGGGGCTTCTCGTAGTGGTAAGGTCCCTTGAAGTCGGGATGCGATGGTGCCAGTTGAAATGCAGCTCTGTGACCTTCGGCGTCGACAAGCACATCGTCATCGACGATCGTGAAAGTTTCAACCAGACCATGCTCGATGGTGGCAAACACCGGTTCCTCCAGGAAAACATCACCATGCTGCTCAATTTGACGAGCCTTCAACTTGCGAACCTGTGCCTGGTCGATGACGCGAGCACCGTTGACCGAAGCTGCTGCGGCTGTAGGTGAAAGTGGTTTATTTTTTTTTTTGGGATTTTCAATAGCCTTCAAGCCATACTTACCCAGGCATACGAGTGCAGAAATGAGAACTAGCTTGGAATGCATCTTATGGGAGGCTTGATTTCTGCTGATGAAGACTTGAAACTGGACTGATACCAATTGGCGATCGCTGTATTCATTTTATACCCAGCTTTGTTTGCTTCCTTATTTGATTTGCAAAGTAGAACCGAAACTAGATTCAGCAATCCGTTTCAGACGGAGGTGTGTTCTATTTACTTTGTCTGAGGTGCAATCGTGATCTTCAAAACCGAACTGCAGTAGAATGGAATGAATGCCTTAAAAGGCTTATTGTGTACGCACCCAACAATATGTGGTTGATGTCTTCATTTTGATTACCATATTGAAGCTAGCCGTTGATGTGAAGAGTATCTCACTCTAAATGTCCAGGCTCTAAAAAATGATGCATTGTACACAAAATTCATCAATGTTCCAAACAAACGAACTCATATTTCATCTCGAGCGAAGAAAGTCTATCTGCAACATGGCAACGAAGAACAGGGAAAACTAGTTTCCCTAGAACCTCTCTCAATTTCTCTACTTGCACTCTGCCATCATTTGCCCTTCTCAGACTCATTCGCTTTTCAAATAGCCAAATAGCCAAACAAACAAAAAACACGAAAGCTGCCAAGTTCAATTTCAACACGAAAAGCAACTCATACCAGAAAAATTATATCATCCATAATCATGATCCTCAAATATGCACCACATCTCCGTCTGCCATCCAAAGGTGCACTTTGCAATTACAAGCCTGACGCAATCTTGGAGGGAATATTCTCACTTTGAATTTTTCTCTGACCGTGGCATCTTCTGCTCCACTTTCCGAGTTGTGCATTGATTTACTTTTTAGCTATCGCTCTTATTTTTTCTTATATTTATTTGCAGATGACATAACACTGCCTTCGTCGCCGGCTCCATTCGGAGGTGACTGTCTATCGTCGATTGCGGGAGATCACGCCTCGGATGACGATTGAATCCAGTGCAGACATTTCACAAACAGTATTGAGTATCCGCAGACGTTGTAAGTGGATGTTGGGCTAGTTGGGAACTATATTTCGTATAGTTATATTTGATGTGAATATCGTATAAACTTAATAAAAACAAACTCGGGCTTTATTTACGATACACATATACTCAAGGTAGCAGGTGTGGTTATGCGATTAGATATCATTTCAAATTGATATTCAATAATGTTCACACACCTCAAACAATATAATCCATTTCTTTAAAGATACTTTCATAAATAAAACCACTGGAGGAACTAATCGTTTCTAGGAGGGGCCATGACCTTTTTTTCTCTAAGTTTAGCAGTTCCATGCAAATAGCAAAAAAAAAACAAATTAATTTTTTAATCGACCTTCTCCGATTTGTGTATGAAATTTTGTGGAACTGCTTGCTATGGGTAATAATTCACATTTTTTGCTAAAATTCGGCTATTTTGCATTTTGTAAAATTTCAAAATGGTGTAACTGATATTTAAAAAAAAAACTACATCATGGAATATAAATAAAAGCATTTTTTACTGGTTGGAATCAATCACCGTGACATGTATGAATTTGATTAGATTGGCTTTTTTCGGTGACGTAGAAAATAAACCAGAAAGCATTTTTTGTTTGTTTATCCTAGGAAGATATTATTTCTTTCTACAACTCTGTCTCAAGCGTCATTTCAATCAGAAGTCTCGTTTCAGTGCAACATTTTTTTGAAAATTTCTAAGCCCGAAATTTGGAAAATTTTACAAAATTTAAAATGGTCGAATTTCAGCAAAATACCAAACAGTTATGCAAAGTTTCATGCAAATCGGCAAAGGACGAGTTTTTGAGATTTGTCGCCCAGTACTTTCATGGTGAATTTAGAGCGATTTATTAGATGCGCGCGCCCGTCCCACCTCACTGCCATGCGCCCCCATTTGCCATAGGATATTTTTATTTTTACTGGTCTCAGTTTCTGCACTGCTCAATTGAACAGCAATTAATATTCAATAATCAATTGATTAATTTCCTCACGTTAATTTTCTAACATGACAATAATTTTAAGATATAATTGTGGCTTATCTATGAGGAGCTGATATGAGTTTTACGTAGTGCAAAGTATATATAAATCACTTTCTTCTTCTTGGCTTACAACTGGAGCTTTATTACTTTATACTTAATCTGCTTTATTGTGCTCTACATGCTTTAAGCACAATCTTATTATATACAATATATAATCGATATTCTCTTTCGCGAATAACCCGAGTGCAATTGAATTTCCCATTCAGTGTGTTGATTTAGGCGCAATCTTACTATAGTCGCTATATATATAGTCTGGCGGATAGAATTTCAATCTATCAAAAAGCGGAACAAATTCAATATATTGTAGACCAACAATTGAAATGGTACTATCAAGTTTTATAAACAAAACGTTGATTATTCTTTCCTCGCCAATCGAACGCAAATTACCGGCTTCATTGGATAGAGGAAATTTTTCCCCAAATATGGTGTTAGTTTGCGTAGGCGAGCCTTAAGTCACGAGAGAACGGATTCCGAAAGTTTTGTTCGCAATAGCTGATGTGCTCTTTTCTGTTGTTGGTCGTGATTTGACAGCTCAATTGGTCAAACAGATATTTGACTGCTCAATTGGTTAACGAGATACTATCCGGCATGCTATGAATATAGCGACTATATAGCTAACATCATCTTCTGTCGAACTGTCTTGTGAGCTTAGCGAGAAATTCATTTATGTTGCCGTGGTTAATCAAATAGAAAGTCGATGAAAAGAATCGATCAACGAGGATAGGTTCTTTTCAAATGTTACGCGAGTTAAATTCGAACAATTGATCATTTTGTCAAGCTTTTGCATTCATGTTCCATCAGATGTCACAGCTGTTGTTTGCGGTGACATCTATCGGAAACTAGACACAATTTGTTTTCCTATAATTGTTCACAGCGGACACTGCAGTGCAAAACATGTCTGGTACCTCTATATATGCATTTAGATTATTATTCGAAGTCCCTCCTTTTTTACACATTCTGCACACAAAATAGCTCACCACTCACATAATTTCCCAACAAATTTTATGTATGGGGTGGGGCATAAAGTATCTTTTGCGCAGAATATGTAAAAAAGGAGGGACTTCAAATGTTAAAGCAAATGCATATATAGAGGTACCAGACATGTTTTGTAGTGTCAGGTACTCTATTTTGTAATCTGTGAAAGGGAAATCACAAATCGAGTGTCAACAAAATACATGGCATATTGAGAGATTGAGGTCGTGAGAGCAAATTTTCTCTCTCGAATTTGAATTTTTTGGCTCTCTGGGAGCTGGTAGTAAATCAGGTAAAACTGTATGGGGAAAAATCATTTTTATTTAATTGTAGCTTGTTTAACAATTATTTCCGGGAAAAAAACTGAACTACAAAGTCCCTGATTAATTTCTTTAGGTTGTCGTTCACTTTTTTTTAACCGAATATGCACCGAAAGTGAATTATTTCCACTTCTCTCAATTTCTACATGGGGATTTTTATTACTTCCTACCAGCGGAACAGCGCCATTTCTGTGGAAAATGGTCGAACAAAATTATTAATTGTGGTATCACTGCTTACGGCACCCCCAATAAACGAGTGCACGGATGGATTTGAGTTCACTCACTCGATAAAAAGTGACACAACAGCGGGGCCCTGTTTTCTTAAAATGAACACATGAATAATACTCGCGTAAAATTTGAGACGGGCCTATCAACTTTTGTACACAAAACTTGTTAAGCCCTTTTCGTGTGAACCGAATACGTCTACGCAAACTTACAACACCATCGGGTAGGGTGTACATCGGTTCTTGTGAAAAGGGCCTACACTAATAAAAATTCAATGCGAATTTTTATGTGTCCCACACATGAATTTTTGCAATGTGATAAACAAATGATAAATATCTATATATGTCGGACACATAGTACTTATGTGTACACATCAAATTCATGTGTAACCACACATACTATTCATTTGACTCATAAATATCATGTGTACTTCTGGGTGGATTCTGTTTATGTGTGGACACATGAAAATCATGTGATATTTTACATGGAAAATTACCAATAAAAATGTGTCGATCTTTAACAGTGTAGCAAATTGTTAACAAAAGTTGATAGCTCCTGTTCAAATGTTACGCGAGCATCATTCCGGTATTCATTTACAGTAAACAGGGCCACGCTGTTATGTCAATTTTTTTCAACAGATTAACATAAGTTTACCCGTGAGCTCGGCAGGAGCTGATCGGTGAGAGATTCACGATGTACCAGATCTAATAGCGATTTTTTAAAAATGAGAGTGATATATAGACCAAGGTTTAAAGCGTCAGCTACACTATCCTCCTTGTGAATATTTTATATATTATATAATATATAGAGACCAAGGTTTAAAGCGTCAGATACACTATCCTGAACAAAACAATACAGGATGCACGCTATTTCTAAACAACTAGGATCTACTCATATCCCCCAAAATTGAGTAAACAAAGTTGGGACTGACAAGATGGTGAATGAACACCTGAATCCGAACGTTAATTTGTTACAATCTAGTTCGCTCTATATTGTTTAGCCCTAATTCTAATGGAAATAAGTAGATCTTACTTAAATTTGGATTGTTTAGAAATAACGTGTGCAGACAGGTGGAAAAACTCTCTGCACACGGCCAACGAGATCAACCCAAATTTGATTTTACTTTACTCATTAATCGCAAAAAGTGCGATTTACTTCATGTTTTTCCAGTTTTTTCGCACTTTTTCAAGGAAAAAATGCCAGAGTTCTAACGATTGGATTTTCTTGGTCTATTGGTTCTACTACTAGGCTGTGTAAAATTTTCGTAAATTTCCCTCATTTTCCAGCAGATTATTTAGGCTTTTATTTGGGTTGATCTCATCGGCCGTGCACAAATTTGAAAGGACAACATCTGACTGGTCAGAGCTTCTCGACGCCTAATCGGCGCACACTACTGTGCCATTTAAATCCAACGAGTGCGAGTAAGAGGGAAACACATTAGTGGGAACATACACCGTCGATTCATACATGTGTGATAAATAGAGAAAGACGATTAAGCATCGAAAAGGTCTATTGGAATACGTAGGGTAGGATGGTTCTCAACGCACCCATGGTGTGAAATGGCCCTACGCTGTTTTTCATAGCTTTCCGATTGTCAATTCGTGAATTCAGTGCTAACATTTGAAAACGGCGCAAAAGCCATTTGTAAACAAATGGTTTGTGGGCCCTTTACTCGCTACCCGAAGAACGCCCACGCAAACCAACAGCATCGTCAGGAAGGGGAAAATTTCCCCTACCCGATGTTGCTGTTGTGTCGCGTGGGTGTACTTCAAGTAGTGAGTAAAGGGCCCACAAACCATTTGTTTACAAATGGCTTTTGTGCCGTTTTCAAATGTTAGCACTGAATTGAAAAATCAGCATTGCTAGTTCAGTGCTTGAACTAACATTCTGGCACATGATGTTTCCAGAATTAGTAATGGATAAGGATCGAAAAACTGCACGGGGCCATTTTACTCCAGGGGTGCATTATGGACTATTCTCCCCTACATTCCACGATTTTGCGTACGATTTCTTCTTCTCATCATAACGCCCAAACTAAACATAAAGCCTTCTTCTGACTTAAAAAAAAAGAAAAAACCAGGGGTTAACCGACATGCACGTATCAACCATATTCTTGATTTATTATTGCAGGTATCATACGATGTCGTAATTAAACTGTCGAGCCAGATCGCGCCGAGTTCTATCGTTTTAGAATGTTTTATACAGGTGAGATAGCTTGTGTTGGCTATCGGACGCAGACGGCAGGACGTGTGAAAATCGATTATAATACCTATGTTACGCTAGTAACAAAGGTAATAAGGCGGAATCTCGAACACCAAACGTCAGATCGGTATGATATGGATGAGGTCTTTCCACTGCTGCAAATTTCACGTTGATGGGATGTACCGTTGATTTGTAAAAAATCGTTAACTAAAATCATTCTATCCTGTAAATCTCCGGAACCGGAAGTTAGATCGGTATGAATTTTTTTCCCCAAGTAGATATGGATAAGATCTTTCTACTGTTAAAGAAATCATGTCGATAAAGTGTACCGTTGTTTTTTTTTTTTTAAATCGTTCACTAAAATCATTCTGGCCTATATATCTCCGAAACCGGAAGTCAGATCGAGAAAAAATTCAATAGCGATCAATGGCGCAATGGGGCCTATCGAACGAGATATCAACCATATTGATCGCA